TACATTGCTGGCTCGTGTCCTTTTTCCATATCTCAGTATCCTCAAGTTCTCTGCAGGACTGCTTTCAACCCCTTCATCCCCTGGCCTGTATTAACACCAGGGGTTGCCCACAACCCACAGGGCCAGCCTCAGATTGAGATTCTCATCCTAAAGGGGATAAATTCAGATCTGGAATTTCAGAGGCTGTTGAAAAGCTATCTATATTTTGACATACTTTGTAATGGATATGAGCATTCCTCATCAGCCTTGAAACTTCAGGACTCATTTACCAGTCCTCCTTGTAAGATATGACTCACTCTGACCCAAATTGAGTCCTCTTCTATGCAAGAAGAGGGATGGCTGCAGCTTTTAGCATGGGGAAACATTTCATCTGATTATAGAAAGGCTCACACAACACCATGACTCTGGATCTGGATTTATCTCTAACGTAACTTCCACTGAGAAGCTGCTGCAGATCATGTGTGGTTTAATGTGTTCATAGTTGAGCTAACTCCAACAGTCATGTCTGGGAGGTGCTCTGTGAGTAACATATAAAGGTGAGAGGATGAGTTCAAAACAGTAAAACCTATAATCAGTGTCTATTGATTATAAAACCTATTGATCATAAAAACCTGTAATCAATAGGTCTTCAGCTGAATCTCTTCAAAACCCTTTCAGTTTGAAAGATTACCTCTTCTTCATCTTCTTTAATTTCTCTCCCCAAAGATATCTTTCCTTCTTCTCCAGATTCAATGATCTCCCAGTTCTCTTAATGAATTTGGCATCTCAGTGGCACCTGACTCTTCATTTTCCTGCAACTTCTGTGGTGAGAATCCAGTTATGAGAGTGATTGCCTTGATGTGTGGCATATTTTGCCACAGCTATGGTACCTTTCATGGACTGGTTCAGGATGTTTTTCTTTTTCATACATGTTTATTAGAAGAAGCTGTCTATGGATTTCAGTTCCAGCTGGAGCACTGGCTACTGTGTACATGGATCACACTATCCGTGTAGAGCAATTGGACCTTGACTTTACACCTGGCCCAGGTACCATGGCTCTTCCCTGACCTCTGGTTTTGGTTCATCTTTCCACCCCCTTTCCACTGTTTCTGCCTTCTTTACACAGCGAGCTCTGTGTGACTGGGATTATCTCTCATGTCACAGAATCACAGAATGTTAGGAGTTGGAAGGGACCTCAAAAGATCGCCTAGCCCAACCCCCCTGCCAAAGCAGGATCACCTAGAGTAGGCCACACAGGAACACACCCAGGTGGGTTTTGAATGTCTCCACAACCTCTTTCGGGAGCCTGTTCCTGCTCTGTGTCACCATCACAGTGAAAAAGTTTTTCCTAATGTTTTTGTGGAACCTTCTATGCCCCAGCTTGCACCTGATGCCCCTTGTCCTATCATGGGACATCACTAAGAAGAGCCTGGCTCCATCTTCCTGACACTCACCCTTCATGTATTTATAAATACTAGTAAGGTCATCGCTCAGTCTCCTCTTCTCCAAGCTAAAGAGACCCAGCTCCTTCAGCCTTTGCTCATAAGGGAGATGTACCACTCCCTTCATCATCTTTGTGGCTCTGTGCTAGATTCCTTCAGAATGTCTTAGGCTGGAAGGCACCTTAGAGATCATCTAATCCAAACTCCCTGCCACGGACAAGGATGCCTCTTAACTTTCAAACAGTTCCCTGTCATTCTTGAGCTGAGGGGCCCAGAGCTGGACACAATATTCCAGATGTGGCCTCACCAGGGCAGGGTAGAGGGGCAGGAGGACCTCTCTTGACCTACTAGCTACCTCCATTCTAATACATCCCAGGATGCCATTGGTCTTCTTGGCCACGAGGGCACACTGCTGGCTCACGGCCATCCTGCTGTCCACCAGAACCCGCAGGTCCCTTTCCTCTGCGCTGCCTTCCAACAGGCCAGCCCCCAACCTGTACTGGTACATAGGGTTGTTCTTTCTTAGATACAAGACTCTATACTTGCTCTTGTTATATTTCATAAAATTTCTCCCTACTTGATTCTCCAGCCTGTCTAGGTCTCTCTGAATGGCAGCACAGCCTTCTGGTGTGTCAGCCACTCCTTCCAGCTTTGTGTCATCAGCAAACTTAGTGACAGCACACTCTATTCCCTCATGCAGGTTGTTGAATACATTGAATAGTACTGATCCCAGTACTGACTTGGAGGGACTCCACTAGATACAGGCCTCCAACTAGACTCTATCCCATTGACCACAACTCTCTGACTTCTTTTCTTTGACCAGTTCACAATCCATCTCACCACTCTATCTTCCAAACTACACTTCCTCAGTTTATCTATGAGGATGCTGTGAGTAATGGTGTCACTTTCCTTACCGAAATCCAGATAAACCATACCCACTGCACCACCTCCATCTATCCACTTGGTTATACTCTCATAAAAGGCTATCAGGTTGGTCAAACATGACTTCCCCTTGGAAAAAACATGCTGACTTGATCTGATGATGCTTGAGCATCATGAGATCAAAACCTTGAAGATAGGCTGTAGGCTTTTCTATAGTGGAGAATAACTCATCTGTGCTTAATGCTACACTACACAGAGAATACTGCAGGTGAACTTGGTATTGTATGGTAGGTTTACTTCGGTGCTGACAACTTCAAACACCTCAGAACTGGCTGATAAACTGGTCTTGTCTTCAGTGAATGTGGCCGGAAGCCCAGAGAGGTATAGCTGCACAGACATGAAGTGGTTGTGCAGTAGACAGCACATGACCTCTGGGTGTCATGATGAAGACAGTCTGTTGGGTGATCATGTACTGGCCTGGAGGACTGACATCACTGCAGAAACACAACTGTGACAGGGCTGAGGAGGTTCAACCCGGCATAGCTGAGACATATCCTTGATCTGTATCTAACATCTTACCAGAAAGACATCTTGTCTTTTGCCTCCCTTGCTTCAGTTGTTCAAATTAAAAACAGTGGGTGAGTTATGCTTATTTGCTCCTTAATTAGAAAGCTCCAGATAAGAGATCCTTGGTTAGGGAAGGACACTGGTCAGTAAGAACTACTGAGCAAAGAACTGGTTTTAAACTGTCTCTGTTTGGGCTAAACTGCTAAGAAATCAGTTAAGTTAACTGACAGAATCATTCTTCACAGCTGTCAGCCCTTATCCATATGCTAGAAGGATCATTAATACGGCTGAAATGGAGTATCTATCACTCTTGTGCTAACATGCAGAGTACTTCCCATAAGCACTGTTTAAAAGGACTTAGGTCCAGATTGTTTAGGGTTTGCTTCAGAGGATGGTAAAATTTTATTACATTTGTTTTTTGTCGCTTTTTCAAATGTTCTGTACCATGCATTCATAATGAGAAAGTGACATGCCTTTTCTTGCAACTTAATATCAGGATGAAGCACAAGAATGGTAAAATAATGAAAGCTAGGAAGATAAGCAACATTTTAATCACAAAGCTAATAAAATGAGATTGACAGAACTCAAAATCTCCTGCTGTTACCCTAAAAAGCAATGTGAAAATATGGATAGAAAAAAAATCTAGAGAAATAAAGTATTTCTTCAAGGAGTTATTTTATAGACCTCTTTAACTGAATACTGCACATTGGTGAAAAATAGTCTGAAGAGAACCTAAGCACCCTCTCTAACCATAACGGTTTTATAAAAACTGGCTAATTTTATTGGGTTTTAGATGACGATTTTCCAGTCCTCCAGTCAGGTTTCTCTACTCCTTTTTACGATGTTATGGCTCATTTCTGAGCTGCACAGAAATGGCAGTTTACTACCTTTTTTTTTTTTTATTTTACCTCCTTTTAATTTCTTTTATGACCTTCAAGGTAAATTAAAGATTTATATTTTTATGTTTTCAAATTGCTGGAACCATGTTCATCTTGGAGTCTGCTCCAGCTTCTGATTAATATTGTTTCTTGACATTTAGATTCGGATTTTAATGCCATCACACATTTATTTTCGCTGATTTAGTCTAGATTATATTTGTTTCTCTGGCTATGTATTCTTTTTTTGGTGGTAATTTACAAAATTATTGGGAAGATTACCTCTGCAAAAGTGGAGGCGTTTCTTTCAAAACATGTTGCTAGCACTTAGATAAGTAAAGATTACATGGCCCAAAGTCCTGAATCTAATGCTGTGGAGCCTGAGCCTGAAATAATTCATCTAGACACTAAAGATGAAGTTGTAAAGCTCAGAAGAGAAGTGGCTTAATACTGGAAACACGTTTTCAGAATTCCTCTTGGCCTTGGGCTGGAATAGATGCAGTCTGTAAAAATTATCTTCCTTTTTATATTTTTAAAGATATGATTTTGGGATTTCTTAGCTTGATAGGGACCTTTTCGATAGCATTCTTAAATGACATACCCATACAAGAAGTGCAATGAGAGACTCAGATGAAAGTCACTTCCTGGCATGTCTTTACCTGGATTTCCATGGAAAATCCATGGATCTTCCTCATTCTGACTTACATTATGAGAAAAAGAAGGATCTCAACTATGTGAGATGCAAAGAAAAGCTTATTCCAGGGGTGCCTCTTTAATTTTTAAAATATGCCGACTCCTATTACCTCTATTTTCTCTCTTCCATAGTCTGCTGTGGGCTCTGCTGTATTAAAAAAAATTAAGATCTCAACTATTTATTAAATCATGATGAAAGAAAATAACTTCATTAGGTTACAATCAGTCCATACGAAAACCTAAAATGTTGAGGAGATGTTTTTGCTGAGCACTGTGTAACTGAACTATTTTTCCAGGCATCTACAGCTCAGTGAACCATGATTTATTAGTCTTGAAGAATTCAGTGTACTTCAATCTCAATTTATCAAATGAAGAGATGGATACATATTCTTAAAAGCAGCAATAGACATTTCACATATGAAACTTCTAACAATGACAGCTATTTAATTAGAGCTCATTTAAGTCACAAAATAAAATTGACTTAAGCTTTTGTATCACACCATCATGCTTTCCTACAAAACAATTTTCTTTTTCCCCCAAACATGTAATGGATGTGGGATCTTCAGCTAGATGGGTCTTCAGGTTGGGTCCTTAACATCTTTATCCGTTTTTCCAGCCTCTCCATCCATTCATTTCTGAGCCTAAGGACAGAAACATGGTTCAGCTTGTCCCCATATTTTTACAATGAACAGATTTATACCAGTGCTATCCTTTGCTTACTGTACTGGTGCTTTTTCCCAGTTGTCATGCAAACTGTTCTGCCCCTTTAGAGTGCTTTGCTGGATGGCAGTTCAGGGCCTGCTCTTAAAACCCGATGAGGGCTCACCTGGGCTTTTTGGTTGAACCACATCCATCTCCAGCATGCCCTCTCTCAAGTGCCTCTGCGTGCCAGAGTGACTTCTCATCTCCAAGGCAGATGGCCTGCTGCCACCTGCTGGGTAGCCTCACCAGGCATTTTCCCAGCCCCTCTCTTCCTCAGAAATGCATTAAAAAAAGTACTGCCTAAAGCACTGTTTGGCTTGAAAACACTGCACGTGTTAAAACTTCTGAACGGACCCAGAGCACATAGCTTTAGGTGATAGGTGGCACTTCTTCCTCTTTTGGGTTCTACCTAGGCACCACAGAAAGACTGCCTCAGAGAGAAAAGACAGGAATTTCACAATTGCAAAGTTGAGATGTTTAAACTAGGTTATTTACAAATGGATGAAACATTCTAGAGTCTAATTCCAGTGTTTCTTCACTGATGTAAGGCTCTAGTTTTTTCAAGCAGCAATCCAATGAGAGGTATGAAGGAAATTTAAAAAAAAATCTTTCTCACTGAATGATGTCAATCCAAAATAGACATCCTTGCATGTGCCTTCAACTTATGGAGATATCATGTGAAGTAGAACTGTACTGATAATTGACACAGAATGGTCTTTCTCATTGTGGACAATTAGAGTAAATATGACTGATTGGTGTAAATATGGCTATGGAGAATGGCTGCCTTGGTCAGCTAATACACTTGGACCGTCTGCTTTATTAGGAATATACTTTCTGCAAATTAGGCCATCCTAATTAATTCAAACTATATTCTTGGGAAAACAAGGTCACAGAGAAAGAAGATGTGCCTGGTACACATGTGTTGCAGCTCTGCTGTGAACCTAAGCCTTCACGTTCAAGATAAGCCTGCATTGCTAAATGCTGTCTTAATAACTTCAGAAAGTTCCACACTTTGGACCCTTTAATGGAACAAGACTGAATTATTCTTTTAACCTGTGAAGACATAGCTTATACAAGTTAATATTAACATCCAGTTTGGGAAGCTTTATTACCTTCTAAAAATCTCAGAAAATTACTTTCAGCTTTCATTGAATGACAAATATAGGTATCACTTGTCTTTTAAAAGTAATTACAAGGTAAACTCAAGAAGTCTTTCTGCAGACTACCTACTTTTTCAGAGCACTTCTTCGCTGACGTTCTTTTTCAATTTGCAGATATTGAGTTTGTTGTGCAATAGTCTTTTCCCAGAAGTTTCTCAGGTCACTAGTTTCGCATCCACGGACTTCATGACGTATGTATTGGCTATTCATTTTCTCTACAGGAGAAATTCAAAACAACAATATGACAAGTTATTAGTTCCTCTGCTATGAAGACAGGCTGCGGGAGCTGGGATTGTTCCGTCTTGAAAAGAGAAGACTTTAGGGGGACCTAACAGCTGCCTTCCAATACCTGAAGGGAACCTACAGGGAGGCTGTGGAGGGACTTTTTACAAGAGTGTCCACTAATAGGACAAGGGGAAATGGGTTTAAGTTAAAATGAAAACAGATTTAGATTGGATCTTAGGAAGAAATTCTTCAGTACGAGGGCGGCAAGAGTTTGGAATAAATTGCCCAGAGACATTGTGGCTGCCCCCTCCCTGGAGGTGTTCAAGGCCAAGTTGGATGAAGCCTTGAGTAGCCTGATCTAGTTGAGAGGCGTCCCTGCCCATGACAGGGAGGTTGGACTAGGTGATCTCTAAGGTCCCTTCCAGCCTAGACCATTCTATGATTCTATGATTCTATGATTCTATGATTGATTCTATGATTCATGGCTAAAGCACACTGTTGCTGGTTTGGATTTTCACGTTAGGGTCACACCGTCTTTTTTTTTTTTTGGCACAGGATAACAGTGGGCATGACACACTATTTAAGCTTTTTATTTCTAGCTCTGACACTTGAGGACACTCTGTCTTCAGTGATTTGAATGTTCACCCCAAATACCTCTTACCTCCGTCTGCCTGTGACCTTTAATGTCACAGCAAAGGAGAGTTCTGTTGTATTCTCTAGTTTAATGATTAAGATACCTTTTACTGCACTCATAAATAGAAGGAAAGCACAAAAATTTTCAGACGGAGTGGGATTTTTCCTCACTGTTTGCATGCCTATAAAATGATAAAGTGACCACTGTACATTAAAACAGTGAAGAAAAAGAGCTCTAGTGATTTAATGTTATCATTAACTTTAGCTTTATTTGGAAATGGAGAAAATTTATATGTATAAAAGTATGTACATAGATTTGTAAGATGATGACTTGCAAAAGTGACCTTGCTTATTAAATTCCTCCCTCTTCTACATTTTACAGAACAGAACAAATTCATTGAATATATTTATATATCTGTGCCCATTCTTTACTTCACCCTTCATTTAATGTCATCTTAAAAATAAATTCAGAGTGAATCTTATAGTAGGAAAACATTATCTGTCTCAGGATGTCTCTTCACAGGCTAACAGTCAAGCCCCTGTATCCCACACTGCAGCCAGAAAATCATATCATTACTTCCAAAACTTCATTAAATATGGAATGAGTATATCCATGCTGCCTTCCAGATTGCTGTGTGGTTTTGCACGAACATGCTATTACAATATTTTCCAGAACATTTAATTTTTTTAACAAGTATTTAGCGCTCTTTCAAGCGTTGTTTGAATTCATGGCAATTATTTGTAATTTATTTTAATCAGAGCCATAGAGAGCTAGTAAACAAGCCCCTCAAGGCTAGCTTGGAAAAGCTTGAAGAAACTGCTGCCATTCCTCTGTCAGGCATTGTAAGAAAAACAAAATTGGGAACCGATAATCTTTATATAATTTCATTTGGAGATTTGGCTGTTTTGTGAAAAACTGTGATGCACATTACAGAGACTCTATGAGAAGAAAAACAGCCCTTTGGAAAAGGGCCCTTTCCTGATGGGATTTCCCTCTGACTCCCCTGTCGTCCCCTGTAAAACCTCCATATACCAAGTCATAGCCTCCAAATGATGGAAGTATAATATTTAAGGCTTTATTTTTTTTTTAAATAAGGAATTTACAAAGCATTTTTTCAGGTTCTGAGCAAGTTATAGCTGGATGTGTAAGCGTTGGGATCAGTCTATAATGTGAATTGCAAATGTAGTTCAATACGTACACCTGTGCTAGAGAATAGCCAACTCCAGGTCAGAAGTTCTCTTAACACAAGTATGTGTTTTCACAAAACATATATATATTTCACAAATATTCACATATATATCAATATAAACCAAATCATCTTTTTCCAGGTAGTAGTACTACTCTTCTTAGCTTTCTGTAAACCAGAAGTAATCTAGAAATTTATGAAAAAGATACGGTAACATCCTTTGGATCAGTCTAAAGGACTTTCCACTCCAGGAGTTAATCCCTGAGAATAAAGATATTTCAGAAGAGTGGCAAGCAAAATTCCCAGATATTCCTGAGGCTCCAAAACAAACTGCCAGGAAATAGATCTCCTGGCTTCTTTAAGCAGAAGTGATCCCAAAGCATAATAACTTCATCCTTCCAAATGGTTATGAATTCCTATTTAATATACTATGAATGTGTATTTTCTGTATATATGAGGGTGAATATTTCTCCTGAATAAATCAAAGTTCTGGAACTCATTGCCAAAACATATAACTAAGCGTAAGTGTATCTTTTCAGAATGCACATATCCTTCACTGGTTTAAAATGCTCTGTCTCCTGGTTTGATTGCCTACGTTCTTGGTGCTGGCTTGAATGTATTGTATAGATGTGTTTCCAGCACTCCTCCCCACAGCATAAAAATTCCAAGAAAAAGTTTTAAACTTGGCAAAAGAGAAGTTCAGAATTAGGTTTTATTGTTCTTCACCTTACATCTGGTGCTGGCAGTATTTAGAAGTATGTATTTAGAATCTTATCAAGACTACAAAGTGGATATAGTACCACACGTTAGAGGTTTCGGTGTAGGTTTCGGGTTTGTTTTTTGTGAGGTGTGGTAGTGGAAATTAATGCTTTTCTCTGTTCATTATCAGTGAAATTTTTTGTGTGTGTGCTTGTTCAGGCACTCTAAGAGCATTGTCCAAGCCTGTTCTTCCTTCCTAACCTTTCATTTGTGCTAACATATGGATGTCTTGGTGTTGAATTTTCTCCTATTCAGCCCCTAATCTTACTCTTTATTTTCTTCGCTTAATACCAGAGAACATTCAAATATGTATCAAAGTAACTGCATTAGAATTTCTGCATAATTCGTTTACCAATCCTCGTACATCCTTGATAAATGCCAGTGTGTCAATGCACCAAAACTTGCTTCTCTGAACTGTGGAATCATCCTACCCTAAATTACCTTCTATTTCAAAGCCTCTATTTGAGCCCATTCATGTAGGGATTGTAGGAACTGCATAACAACTCTGCTAAAATAACCCACCTGGTTTCCTTTGCCTTTGCCTTTATGCATCATGTGCACAGGTGTTTAAATTCATCTCTGCCCTGCCATCTATTTCAAAACTGTTGCCATAAAACTTCAGAATTACGTGGGCATCTTAAACCTAGTCTATCAATATTTCACTTGCCCTAAGATAAACTTTCTGCACTAAAATCTTCTCAGTGATAGAAACTCTTTATTTTCTCTCTTACTTCAGGCTTTTCAGAGAAGAGCAACAGAACTTAAACTTGTACTATGGCTTTGAACCAGCAGTTATCACCTGGGAAGAGTTTATTTTCATGTCTTGGAACCTCCTTCAAAGCTGTTAACAAAAGGGACTTAATTTAATAAGGAAAGAGAAGAATGGAAAAGACTTCATGGAAGCAGCCTCCAAAGCAGCCTTAAAAAATAGTCTCTATGTATGATACAACAGATGGGAATAAATATACTGTCAAAGCATATAGGGAATTGTAACAGCACTTTAATAGAATTTGCAGTTAGCTCTGACTTAAACCATCCTGCAACAGCTAGGACTAAAAGAAACTTTGTTTGATCTTCTAGTGGCAATCCTTCAAAAGGACAATAATCAGAGGTTCTTTCTGGGAGTCACCTTTGACAATGCTCTCTTTGCAAGCTCGTGAAAAAATGTGGCTGCTCTCAAACAAAAGGAGTAGCTGGACAAACTCTAGGAAGGCTTTATCCCGCACAAAATGAAAATGATTGTTTATTTTTAGATTCAACAGTTTTAGAGAGGTTGATATTATTTAGACTCAATTTGCTAAGGGAAATCTTAGGAAGGTAGGGAGGATGTGATACTAGCATTGTTATCTGGAACTCAAAAATTATGTTGGCAGAAGAAAAGATGAATGCAAGATCAATTCAATGCAATGTCTTGACTTTTTTATAAGTAAAAACAATTAACAGTTTGAGGCTGAAATTCACTGATTCTGTGATAAACCATTAACACCACAAGAAACACATTTCATGGAGAGTATTAGAAGTTACAAATTTCTGAGACAGAAAATGGTATGTAAAGAAAAGCACTTTTTTTTTCCCTGTAGTAGAACACAAATTATTGTTTTAAATGGTTTTTAAAATTGACAAAGCATCCACCTGAGAGAGGAAAGCTATTTTTTCCCCTTCTTGTCCTTCTTGCATAACACAATAGGTCAGAGGTTTCAGGATGTTATGCATCTTCCTAGAAATAATACAATATTTTTTTCATCTATCTTTTCACGGATCATGCTTGCTGAATGTGCTTCTTATATAAGTGCAATGGATTAATAAAAAAAATGTATGATATATAAGAGAGTACACTATCTACACTAAGGATTATGTTTGAATTTAGAACAGTAAGAAATATATTCTGATTTAATAAAATGGGACTAGTAGTCACGAATGTGATTTCCCTCACTTTCCTTGGATCTTGGGTACATCATTTTTCTTCTGCTTCTGCATCTGGCAGCAATTCACATCTCAAAGGGCTAAGGCTGACTTTGAGATCCTGCCAGGGGAAGCATACTCTCACTTATGTCTTCAGACCCTGGGTAAAACTCTTTGCGGGCAGAAGGAAGGCATTTTAGTTTAATCCTCTGTACTCTTCTGTTGGTGTGTCAGGCTGCACAGTGTAGTCTATCTCAGAAACAGCCTGACCCTCAGTGTCGCTCGTAAGCGACGTGGGGAGAGGTTTCTCACAGCTCTGACTGCCTCACTGGTCATAGAATCACAGAGTCACAGAATGTTAAGGGTTGGAATGAACCTCTGAAGATTATCTATTCCAACACCCCTGCTAGAGCAGGATGACCTAGAGTAGATCACACAGGAACACATCCAGATGTGTTTTGAATGTCTGCAGAGATGGAGACTCCACAATCCTTCTGGGCAGCC